TATAAGAGGGAAATCCATATAAATTACCGTACGCGTATGATAGCCAAGTTTCTGACACGCAGATAAGAGAAAACTTGTGATCTAAAGAAGCCAGGAAATCGGAGATTTCATCATATTGTTTTTTTAGACTTCGTGCAATAAAGTGAATTGCAAGGAGGCATGGGTTTGAAAAAAAATAACTGAAGTTGCACAGTCGAAAAATAAGGTGACATTATCGAATACGTTCAGGCACTAAGTTAGTTACTTGGCCTGTTAGTCTTTATCGGAAGATAGATAAATCACCCTCAGACGAGATACGGAAGACTGGACTGTCGCACGTCTTTCTGGCTTTTATATGGCAATTTTCAGTCCAAAGAAACTGGCAGCCTTTGTCCTTTTTCAGTGACTGAGCTTTTGCGAATAGAATTTCTTCTCACGAGTCAGGTGATCATTAATCTAAATGGAAACATGATTAGGGCTGGGGAATCCGACATTCTTTGAATTCATGCGAGCCTTTCGCGCCTTGATGTTGAAGTACTGCTTCTTTGTTCTAGAGCAGAACTGGGCAATAATATTCTTATTGGCCGATACAGACCTTGTTGGCACGCAGTGGACAACATCGATGTCATCTTCAGAAATTTAACAGCTTATTTTATTGCCAACAGCCTTTAAAAGTGCAAGGCAGTTCTCGCCCTGTGTGCAAGCTGCACCCTTCATTTCCACGTTGTTTATTCGAGAGTACTGTTCAAGTTCTGACAGACGTTTGGCCATTGCTTCATTTTCAGTTTTTATTGCTTTGTTGTCTGCAGTCAGATCAACATTCTGAGCTCAAACTTCTTCAACCAAGGAGTTAAGCATGTTGACACTTTTGGTTAATGCCTCCATTTCCCGTTTCATTTCAACAATGTTAACTTCTGCCTTATTGAACATATTCAAAAAATCAGAGACAACATCGTTCGGCTGATCCTTGACCAAAGCTTCCACCTCATAAATTCTTTTTGCAAGCTCAGCACAAGAAGGCACGGTGTCCAGCACAAACAATAGTCATATATGAGCACTTGCAGCAGCGGTGGTCACCGAAAAAATGGTAAACTGTACTACTTTACAACTAGTAGCGGTACTAACCTGCAAAAGCAAGTAGAGTGATTCTTGAAGTTCGTTGCTTCCTGCCGTGACCACCGCTGCCAAATGATGTCAAGTCGATTTCGCCGTCCCTCTTATCCGGGAACAATCAACCAGGCAGCTGCGAAGCGCCGAATATTGACTTGGGTAGACCGTGCACAAAATCTGCGCAGATTCCACCAATGACGCACGAGACAGGCGACAAAACCGAGGCAAGAGCAACACGTGGACTGAGGTGACCATACATGGCTAGGTATAGAGGACGAGCACTGCAAAAGCAAGCAGAGTGCTCCTTGAGGTTCGTTGCTTCCAGCCGTAAAAGTTTAACAGCCCAAAGTAGGATAGGTGCTCTTGCCTGTTTTTAGGTGTTGGTGCTTCTTTAATTGTGCGCAGCTTCTCTTTGTAAGGCGTGACGCCTCTTTCATTGATAACATGACCAAGATAAGTTGCTGATCTTTAAAAAAACTTGCACTTTTCTTTGCGCAGTTTGATTCCTCGATCCTTGAAACTTACTAGTACGCATTCCACTTTTTTGTAACACTCTCCCAGTGTTTGTCCCCCTATAATGACATCATAGAGATATCATGACACAGTATCCGAAACCTTGAACACTTCATGCATGACTGCTAGAAAAATTGCTGGGGCACTGGTAATTCCGTACGATAGTCACATGTACCTGAAAAGTCCTATGTGCATGTTTATTGTGACAAGTGACTGGGAAGACTGGTTTAGCTATAGTTGCAGGTAATCTGTAGCGAGGTTCAATACCGTGAAGTATTTACATCCATGCAAAGTTACGAAGATGTCTTTCATTACAGGTAGCGGTTAATTGTCAGTCACCTTGTAATCACCCCAAATGTGGACCTTGCCATTTGGTTTCGGAACTACTACCAGGGGCGTTGCCCAGTCGCTTTGCTGAGTAGAAACTAGCACTCCGCTTTGGACCAAAGACTGTATCTCTTGTGCAACTCCCTCTTGTGCCCGCACCTCAAGCTTAGCATAGATGCACGAGTGGTGAGGTAAAGACCATGATCGTGATGAGCAAGAATGATGCCGCAACAACTTTAAGCAACGCCATTCGTGATACTCGGTAGCTAACAATTGCCGTAACACGAAGCTGTAATAAACGAGCACGCCGCCAACCACTCACTATGATTTTCACGGCGAATGACAGTGGATATTTTTAAATACCCTAGGTATCTTGCAAGTATGCGTGTAGTGAACACGCTGCAATAATATTCCAAGTGTGAAAAAATGACAGCTTATCGTGACAGTTACGGATCAAGCATCTTGCATTACACACACCTGACGCACGCAGTTGCTGTCAGTATATTGACGAGGAGCAGCAAGGCGCTCACTTAAGTGGAAAATGTGGTTGCTTTCATGCAGGTTTTCCCATTCATTCATAGTGGCATTGCAGAAGAATGTCTCCCTACGATATCTTAAAATCCTGCTCCAAGAACCAGCACGCCGGCCACGGGCGCATTTGCCATCACAACTGTCAAAGCAATGAAGAGCTGCTGTCTGCTATACGATTCTCAACTTTGCGCGCCCACCGCATCACAAGTGGTGGTGCACATGGCTTTCAAAGCGCATCCTATAGGTCCCAATCGGAGTGTATAGCAACGGCACATGAAGCATTTTTTCGGTCGTGAAGTTGCGTTGTCCCTCTGATAGATATCCAGTGTATTCGCCGGACCAACGAACGTGCGCCGTTGTTACTTTAGCTGGTTAAACGCGCCTTACAGGTGAGTTGAGAAGTTGTCCCCTACCATTCGCAATGCCCACGAACTATAGATGGAGCGTTGTAAGATTGAAGGTATCGCCCGTAGGAGGGTCGACCTGTTTGCCATCATAAGAACAGATTGTTCGTGCAGATATACAGACCGTGCCATTTTCACTGGATAAAGTCATGAGCTGCACTGAAATGTATGAGACCAAAATACTTTTTTAAGCCATGGAAGCTCACCACCTGGTTATTTACCTTGGTGTGAAAGGTTATATTTCAGCTCTGTTATCGTGCATGAACGACGTTTTGCCAAATCCTGTGCGGGCTACAGAAAATTGCAGGAACTAGAATTGACGTATGAACTGAATGAAACTCCGAGGTATAATGTGTACCAAGCCTGCCTGACTGGTTTGCCGCAGTAGTAGGCCACACGGGAACGTGTGTTTGACATGGCGATGGTTTGAAACATATTATGCAGTCGTCATTACTTGCATTGTCAGGAACATAGCGTTGGTTCTTCAATGAAACACAAGCATTTAACCTCCCATTTAGTTTCGCTTGTGTCACAGGTATGCTCAGACTCAAGCCGTGCGCAATTCACTGCTGAAAATGTTGCAGGTTCCATCAGCGCGATTGAAACAAGAATATCAATAAGAATACACACGTATGCTTTTTGCAATGTCACAATTGTGAAACTTTGTCGAACAACGATGCCAGTTGGAAGGTATCAGTGAAGCACAGGAGAAGTTAGCAGAGAGGCAGGGATTGTTGTTGTAACTGCACGTTTTATTGCTCTAACCAACGTCAAGTGCAACTCGCTCCTCGTCGGTTAGCAGCTGATCGTTCATTGTCACTGTCACTTTTGGTGCGTTGACAACCTCCTAAGACCAGTGAAAAATCCTCGTCAAGATGGTTTCTGTCAACATTGCAGCTGAAAGCAACCTGAGGAATTCCTTTCGCTGAACAGCTTTGACAACACCAACATCACGTCACTCACCACGTTTATCTAGGCGTGCACAGCATTTTACTCTGAAACCTTCCAACAAGCAAATCACTTGCAGTGTGCTGCCATCTGTCAACAAGTGTACAAAAACAAGCGGTGTCAGCGTTGGCACAATTTCGGAAGAAGTGAATCGCGAGCCCATGCGACTTTCCGCGAACAATGAATGATATGTGATTCATGCACTACACAAGCACTGCGAAATGCTATATGCATGTAAAACAAGGTGAGTTTCAATTGCAAAAATCAGGTGATAAGATTTCGCTAACTTACGTGGCTATAGGAAATTTCCCGAAGCTGGTTTGTGTCTTCTGCGAGCTATCATCGAAAGCGCCATTTGCAACGTATTTTCACGAAAATTTTGTTCTTGCAAGAACAAATCGGATTTATTATGTCACAGAGGGCCCGATTAGTTCACTGATATAGGAAACATGCGAAGTTGTAGGGTTCGTTTATGCCTACTGACCATCCTCGAAAAGAGGCCCCAGAATTCGGCTTGGCGGCGTTCACGGACATTGTGACCCCCCCCCCGTGAGAGAAAAAAAAAAAGCAGATCCCACGCACCATGGGGATCGATGACATGCGAAGCATGTGGAGGAAAAATGGTTGTGGGGTAATTTTTTTTTCAGCGGAATTTCACGAAATGACACTAAGCATATGTACAAATGTTGTATGCATAGTCATGTATGTTAAACAGTCGCATATGTTCTATATAACCAGTTGTTGTGGTTGCGTAACCTTGTTAAGAACAACATGGGTACTACCTTGAAGGACTCTGGTATTACCAACACCAGAAGCGGTGAACTGAGATGTAGCGCTTGTGAGGCTGTTAACGCTGAACACTGCTACTTCATAAATTAACTTCAACGCATGGCACATAAATACAATTTACATTGACGTTAACCTGAAATGATGCTGTGTCATAGGAGTATTGTTTATGAAACTAGTAAAGGTAAAATAAACAACCACCCTTTGTTGCTAAAGCCACAGGAAAATGCATACAGATACCATGTCATGTCATGGACTTGTCGTAAAATCTCGGCAATTAGTATCAGCACATTGTTTATCTTGAAGTGTGGAAATGAAAGGCATCATTGTGTAACTGATTTATTCAAGGGTCAAATAGACCGTGTGTTTTTTATCTTTTTGCTTCTTTCTCTGCTTTCACAGGTATCATAAGTGATGCGGCATTGGTTCTTTTAATATCCTTGCTATTAATGCAACTGGGCCCCTATGAGACGAAGATTCATGAGACTCTTTGTACGGCCGTGCAGTCTAATCACCCAGAGTAAGTGCTTTCCATTTTTTTTGTATCTATGCATGATTCACGCTTGTTATCGCGGCTAGTGCAGGCAGAACCACTTCTGCTGATAATCTCTGCTTCTAGCTGCTGCTGCATGCACAATAAGATAAAAAGATTTGGTTTAAAGAATATCGTAGAAACTTCCATGAATGGGCAATACACAAGTAGCGTTTTTTTTAAGGGACTTTCTTTATAAATGATAATACCGTATTTACCCAATTCCAGCACACACCTTTTTTTTTTTTTGAAAAAAATAGGCCCTAAACTCTCATGCGCATTGGATTTGCGTACAGACCAACACTGCACCGTAACTGCATCAGAAAGACACCAACGCAGAATTAGAGCACAGGATCGATTTGCAATCGATCCCGTGCAGTCATTGTGCGTTGTGTAATTTCCAATGCCATAGACTGCATTGAAAACGAGATGTTGAGGTCCGATATTGATCGATAAGGAGCTGTCTGACACCTGTAGTGAATGAAGTGTGGTAAGTAAACAGCCCGTTCCCACCTGACGATATAACATTTTTGCACATTTTGTTCGTTCAGGGAAATCGCGTATACGTTAGAAGCGGGCATGCATTTAATTACGTTTTCTGTTTTTCGGTCGACAGTGGGTGCGCTTGAGATTCAGTGCTTAGTCACTCTTATTTTCGTTCAGTCACGAAAATCGGGTGCGCGTTAGGATCGGGTTGGTTGACTAAGCCCTCGGAGCTACGTTCACACGCATGTTACATATATTTCTCCAAGTTTATGACAAAACGGCAGATTATTTGTCAATCGACAAATTAATAGTATTGTGAGCACTACTCGTTGTCACAGTATCACTTGATTTTATGGGTCAGTAAGGGCCTTGAGCAGTCTGGCTATCACCAACTTGAAACAGTTGTGTCAGCAACCTTGCCTATCCTTGGAGCAATCTAGTGACGCCAGTGAGCGGACAGCTTAAAACAGTCCTGTCAACAGTCCTGCCTATTTTTGGGGTTATCTGGTGTGCGGACACCTACTTATCGGCTGGTAAGAGCTGGGGCTCGATTGTGTGTTGCATTGCCAGATCAATAAATGACATTTTTCAGCTGTACTTAATCTCTTGTCCAGGCACAGGCATTTCCGTCGCAAGAAGCTAAGCCCATGAGACGTATGCATAGGCTGGGAATGGGAAAGGGAGACCGAGTGTTCATGGATCGCAGGGTGGTGTGCGCAAGCTATTAGACAGTTATAGTTTAGCATGATTGCGAGTGTCAAGAAAATAGCGTTACTGTTCCACGAACCTTTGTTGCAGACAGCATGTTTTATTTCAGCCGGATAGCATTTACATGCTCCAGGTTGAGATGGTGGCGTGTCCTAGCGGAGGGCAGACCTGAAGGCAAGCGAAGCCAACGTACAATGCTGTTTGCTACAAAAGAAGTGGATCAGTCCCTACTAACGCTAAATTCAGTTCGAAGCAGGCGTCCGAAATTGCCGCCATGTTTTACATACGCTATGCAAACCAAGCAAACTCCATCTTCTGCTAAAGGGAACCATGTTTGGCTGCGAAGCAGTGGGGAGAGGGTGAACGGCACCCACAGCAACTTGTTTACATTGCCTTAAGCAGGTCCATCAACATGCAGAACCTATACTTGACTATCAATGGCGGTGACCTTCGCTCGATGCCGGTGACCGCTGTCGTGAACGCTGCCAGTGACCATGACTATAGCACTGCTAAACAGCCAGTCCCTCAACGCACACCCCAGAAACATAGAACCTGATCCTGTGCTAACCAAAGCAGATGGCCTCTGTCTCACAGAAACATGGAACAGCGCAAGATCGACAATCTACGGCTACGAAGTGATTGTGTGTACTGTGGAAGCATTTCGTTGCCTTCGCTGCCGACTCGGCTGAGAGAGGGGGAGTGTAGGAAATAAAGGGGGAGGGGACGCATATGCGCAGGGGGAAACGTACACAGCCCCTGCTATAAGTGGCGTCCCATCTAAAATAACGTGCGTACGGTAAGCAATCTGGTTCATTTACCGTGCTGCGCATGCTCGTTTCGATCCCGCTATTCTGCTAAGCCAGTTAAACTGTAACAGCCTGTTATCTCTCAGAGTCTCGGCATCCTAGTGACCCGAAATCGGCTCTGAGCGAAGTGAAAAAGGCAGAGTGTTTCAAGATCCTGCAAGCGCAATTAGGTAACTCATATAATTCCCACCTGCAGCTCGCGTAATCTTCTAATTGTAACCTGGTTAAGAAAGTTGAAAAATCTTATCTGCACGTTCCTAAAGCATGTCGGTGGGTAAGTTGGTTTGCATCCATGAATTGTGAGTAAGTGCAAACAGACAATTACTAGAGAATTGACACTGGCATATTCCACTTTCATCTCGATCACAAAGCATATCGGACTCGTTCTTCACGTCAATGAATGGCCATCTGACAAATGGCGCTTTTGACTCTGCTCATAGTTGACAGGTCATGAATGGTGTTTTAACTAAGAAGCCGGTTAAAAAATCGTACCTTGTTCACACCTTACTAAAAAGCTATCATCACCATGAATGAATGTGCGCCACAGAAATCGAGTGAATCCCATTGCTCTCAACTGAGCAGCTAAAGGGTAACAAGGTTATCCCAACAAATAGGCATTTACATACATGCCGCAAAGGTATGTGTCCACATCAGAAAGAACTATCATCATCATGAATGAATGTGCACCACGGAAACTGAGTGAATCCTGCTTCTCTCGACTGAGCCATAAAAGAGTGTGAAGGTTAGCCCAACAAACAGGCAAGTAAGTACGTGCCACAGAGGTATGTGTGCCCTATCAGAAAAAATGATCGTCATCATGAATGAATGCGTGACATAGAAATTGGGTGAATCCCGCTGCTCTCGACTGAGTAACAAGGTAAGCCCAACAAGCAGGCATGTATGTACATGCCACCATCTAAAAACGTTGCATGCCACAGAGGACGTATGTGTGCCCTATCAGAAAAAAAAACTATCGTCATGAATGAATGTGCACCACAGAAATTGGGTGAATACAGAACTTCGATCGATAAAAAAAAAAAAAACTCGAGAAGTGGCTGCGAAACGATGGCAGTGAGCCGAGCACGTGTAGCTGGAGAATAGACAGTTACCAGACAGTTATAGTTACTGTTAGCGTGATAGCGTTTACGTTGTTTACGTGCCCCAGCTGGGATGATGGTGCCACCTATTGAGGAAGGGGGGTTGAGAAGTAGGAACAGTGGAAAAGAAAATTAGAATGTCTGCCTGTGTCACCGCGCGAAGCATTGTTACAAGTTTATTTTAGTAATAATAAAAGTAAATAAATATGAACCACGCACCAAACGCGAGAACATTTCTGTTGCCGATTCGTTTACGTTGATCGTTTAGTTAGGCCTAGATGCGTTCGAAATGGGAACCTATTCCAAAAACTACGCCAACTTATCCGTAATACTCGGTCATTGAAGCTAACTGAAGGCAATCGAAACCACTGCAGTCGTTTGCTGCGAACAAAGTGAGTCTTTCAACAACTACGCCGAAATCACTTCGAAGCGGGTGTCCGAGAGCGCCGCGATGTTGTAAGTACACTACGTACACCTACACTTCCACTGTAACGTTAAATATGAAAAAATAGCGCGCGTATGGTAAGCAATACGGGTAACGTACGTATCTGCACACGCGCACTTCGATCCCGCTATCACAGTATACCCGGTATCTCGGTGAGCCCGGTGTACTATAATCCTCTATTGAATAGAATGTGCACATACGCAGGTCTTTACGGAACGTAAACGAATACTTAGCGTAAGCTACCCGCCAGGTAGACTCTACGTTTGCGGTCCTATCTGGCAAATCTACTTCCGTCCGAAAAACTTGTGATATCGGCATTGCGGAGACTCCACCGTCGAGTCAAAATAAGCCAAAATGCGAGCGCCAATAGCGATTGCGTTGTTTCAGCCGGATTACTAAAACTAGAATGGCATATAAGATCAAAATCGTAAACGTGCGAGTCCTGATGGCTGGATAGGTGGCGCCATCTAGCGGGCTAAAATGAACAAGGAAATCACAAAATTGTTATTGCTGAAACATCGTGCATTGTACGCGTTGTTTAAAAGCTCCGAAGTGGCGTTATTACAAACGAGTTACCTTTTTGTCGAATCATTTTCAGCTTAAAATATTACGCGTAAGCCAACATGTTTATGACTGGTTGCACAAAGTTTTACAAGATGTCGACACAATCGTGGCAGTAACCTTGTATTCCTTCACAGTTTTGCGCATACGAGGATACTGTATTTGATGAAGAAACGTTTCGTGATTTCCCTTCAGTGGTGATTCAGTTAAATATAGTTTAAATGCAGTTAGCATCACCGTTTATGGTTTGCGAAAACGTAAAGACATATGTTTGCGTGCGTACGTGAACATTTACGTATGGGGAGCTAAAACGTTAAAAAAACATGCGTTCCGGTCAGACGGTAAACGCAAACCAGTAACCCGTTAACGTAAAGAAGTTACGTAAAAGCTAAGAGCCCCGCCGCGGTGGTCTAGTGGCTAAGGTACTCGGCTGCTGACCCGCAGGTCGCGGGATCGAATCCCGGCTGCGTTTCCGATGGAGGTGGAAATGTTGTAGGCCCATGTGCTCAGATTTGGGTACACATTAAGAACCCCAGGTGGTCAAAATTTCCGGGGCCCTCCACTACGGGGTCTCTCATAATCATATGGTGGTTTGAGACGTCAAACTCCACATATCAATCAAAAGCTAAAAGCCCCTACTGTCATCCAGCGTAGCTCTGAAGCGAGCTAGCGAAGTCTGTACGTGCACGTGAATACAAGATACACGCTTATTATTATTGGACAAATGAATCGTTTGATTTCGAATTTTTTTGTCATGGCACGAATATTTTGCCCCGTGAATTGTCTTGCGGGAGTGAAAAAGTTCCACTGGCTGTAGTTCGATGCGGTGTTCAAACAAGCGGGGCATATGTGGAAACCAAGTGCAGTTTACTCTGTCTTCTGCAA